TTATAGTTTCATTTTAAATATTTTCAGTGTTATGTTTAACTTAGGCCTTTTCATTAATTCATTCATTCATTCAAAATATTATACATTGATTTGTTTATAACTTTTTTGAACTGTTACGGTAGTGATCATTTTGTGGAAATGATGGTAAAATGCATATTATTTTATCCAAAAACATAATAATAATTATAAAATAGATAGTACAGATTCTAATCTCAGTGATCCAAGAGGACATTTCGTGAAAAATGACACAAGAATGTTTTGGTCAAATGTCAGTTTTGTGAGAATAACCCTATTGTTGTTATGTTGTTATAAGTCAAACAGGAAGTGATGTATTAGTGTCTCAGGGTCATGTTCATTAGGCATCAAACGTAAGAAAACTGACTGAAACAGGGAGGGATTGTGAAGTTGTCCAATAAGAAATGCTTTTTTTTTTTGCATAATGTTTTAAAACGTTTTCCATTGCATGTGGTAATGAATCCAACCCTGGTTCCAGCTTTGCCAGGCTGGAGGATCTGCCGTCAGAGCAGTGGAACCACGCTACGGTGAGGAACGCCCTCAAAGAGCTACTGAAGGAGATGAACCAGAGTTCCCTGGCCAAGGAGTGCCCCTCTCTCAGGTAGCAGCTTATGTCATGTCATGCAAATGAGTCTCTGGGTTAGGTTGTACTGCATTGCATTAGCCTTATAGTGGTGTGGAATCATGTGCCAAGGAGTGCCCTCTCTCTCAGGTTGCATCTTATGTCATGTCATGTCATGTCATGTCATGTTATGCATCTTAGTCTCTGGCTTAGGTTGTTTTTCATTAGCTTCAGGAAGTGGTGTGCTGTTCTTACATGCCGTTTAAATGACACATGACATCCTGTATACAGATTCCAAAACAACAACGCAGATCTGTTTTCTTCTGGATTAAAGCGCTCCACATTGAGCTAAATTAGTGACTGATTGTGTTGTGGTGCTCCAGTCCATACATTATGTGACTGTGTTGTGGTGCTCCAGTCCATACCGTATGTGACTGGGTTGTGGTGCTCCAGCCCATACCGTATGTGACTGTGTTGTGGTGCTCCAGTCCATACAGTATGTCACTGTGTTGTGGTGCTCCAGCCCATACCGTATGTGACTGTGTTGTGGTGCTCCAGTCCATACCGTATGTGACTGTGTTGTGGTGCTCCAGTCCATACCGTATGTGACTGTGTTGTGGTGCTCCAGTCCATACATTATGTGACTGTGTTGTGGTGCTCCAGCCCATACCGTATGTGACTGTGTTGTGGTGCTCCAGTCCATACCGTATGTGACTGTGTTGTGGTGCTCCAGCCCATACCGTATGTGACTGTGTTGTGGTGCTCCAGTCCATACCGTATGTGACTGTGTTGTGGTGCTCCAGTCCATACCGTATGTGACTGTGTTGTGGTGCTCCAGTCCATACATTATGTGACTGTGTTGTGGTGCTCCAGCCCATACCGTATGTGACTGTGTTGTGGTGCTCCAGTCCATACCGTATGTGACTGTGTTGTGGTGCTCCAGCCCATACCGTATGTGACTGTGTTGTGGTGCTCCAGTCCATACCGTATGTGACTGTGTTGTGGTGCTCCAGTCCATACCGTATGTGACTGTGTTGTGGTGCTCCAGTCCATACCGTATGTGACTGGGTTGTGGTGCTCCAGCCCATACCGTATGTGACTGTGTTGTGGTGCTCCAGTCCATACCGTATGTGACTGTGTTGTGGTGCTCCAGTCCATACAGTATGTCACTGTGTTGTGGTGCTCCAGCCCATACCGTATGTGACTGTGTTGTGGTGCTCCAGTCCATACCGTATGTGACTGTGTTGTGGTGCTCCAGTCCATACCGTATGTGACTGTGTTGTGGTGCTCCAGTCCATACATTATGTGACTGTGTTGTGGTGCTCCAGCCCATACCGTATGTGACTGTGTTGTGGTGCTCCAGTCCATACCGTATGTGACTGTGTTGTGGTGCTCCAGTCCATACCGTATGTGACTGTGTTGTGGTGCTCCAGTCCATACCGTATGTGACTGTGTTGTGGTGCTCCAGTCCATACCGTATGTGACTGTGTTGTGGTGCTCCAGTCCATACCGTATGTGACTGTGTTGTGGTGCTCCAGTCCATACCGTATGTGACTGTGTTGTGGCGCTCCAGCCCATACAGTATGTGGTCCTTATAGGTCTAGTATTGCACAGGACTGTGGGGAATTGTACACAGTCACTAAAACACACACTCATTAAAACACACACTTACTAAAACACACACTGCATTCACCCTCTCTCTCTCTCTCTCTCTCTCTCTCTCTCGCTCTCTCTCTCTCTCATCAGAGTATGATCTCTGCCATAGTCAACAGCTCGTACTATGCCAACGTGTCCACCTCCAAGTGCCAGGAGTTTGGCCGCTGGTACAAGAAGTACAAAAGGATTCAAGGTGAGGTGTGTCCCCTCTTGGCTCCCGTAACCGTACACACCCCACAGGGACAATACAATGTCATTAGCACCTTCCTCTATGCCTCTCCTCTATAACATTGCCTGTCATTGGTTGGGATCCTAACTGTACGTCTCTCCCTCTATAACATTGCCTGTCATTGGCTGGTATCCTAACTGTAATTCCTTGAGTTTACCCAAGTGTTGGGCCCTTCTTTCAGCAGACAGTTATTATTGGCTCTTGAGTAGTGTCGGCTCAAGCTTTTGGGGGCCTAAGGCAAGACTTGATTGTGGGGGGCCACCTCCCGCGTTAAAGGAAAAATCAGCTAAAAAACTATATTTTGGGACTGTACTAACAGTGGACTAATGAAAACAAAACCAAAAGATAGTTTTGGAGCTGATTTGTCCTTTAAGGCCATACACACAGTCTGCTTATAGGGGATACAGCACTGCTCTTGAGCAGGCCTCTGAGATGTGGGTTAACTAAACTGCAAACCCCCCCCCCCCAGAGAACATTATGTTCTGCTGACCAGCAGGGACCACTGTGTTTGGGGAGCTAGACAGTTGCTTCAATCCTGAGATGACCCTATACAGCAGTAACAGTACTGATACTTAGGGGGGGGGGGGGTAGGGGCATTAGACATGGTATTAGATACAGCTCTGTAGAGACCAGAGACCCCACCATGATGCATGGTATTAGAGACAGCTCTATAGAGACCCCACCATGATGCATGGTATTAGAGACAGCTCTATAGAGACTAGAGACCCCACCATGATGCATGGTATTAGAGACAGCTCTATAGAGACCCCACCATGATGCATGGTATTAGAGACAGCTCTATAGAGACCCCACCATGATGCATGGTATTAGAGACAGCTCTATAGAGACTAGAGACCCCACCATGATGCATGGTATTAGAGACAGCTCTATAGAGACCCCACCATGATGCATGGTTCACATAATCATTTAATGTCACCCTTAATATAGCAGAGAAAACCAAACACTGTCAGCCTCTAATCAGAAGCAGCCGCCAGCCACTCCACACTGGGAGATCCCTTTACACACACACGCAGGGGCATGGGCACACACACACACACACACACACAAACACACACACACACAAACACACACACGCAACACATACAGAGTGCATGCACACACATGGACGCACAAACACGACGAACACGACGCACACATGCACTCACACACACACTCTTCGACCTCATAGCAGACCATGTACCCCCTCCTTTCTCCCTCCTCCCTGTTTAACGGTGTCATTCCAACATGGAGGCAGATCAAAGTTGACACCAGACCACAAACACAGAGAGAAGTGGGAGAGTGAGATAAATGGTGCCTGTGGTCTGACAGGGAGGGAGAGAGGGAGGGAAGGAGGAGGGAGGAGGGAATGAGGGAGGAGGGAGTGAGGGAGGGAGGGAAGGAAGGAAGGAAGGAAGGAAGGAAGGAAGGAAGGAAGGAAGGAAGGAAGGAAGGAAGGAAGGAAGGAAGGAAGGAAGGAAGGAAGGAAGGAAGGAAGGAAGGAAGGAAGGAAGGAAGGAAGGAAGGAAGGAAGGAAGGAAGGAAAGAAGAAGAAGAGAAGAAGAAAGAAGAAAGGAAGGAAGGAAGGAAGGAAGGAAGGAAGGAGAGGGAGGGAGGGAGGGAGGGAGGGAGGGAGGGAGGGAGGGAGGAGGGGAAAGGTCAGGTTCCCTACAGCCTATAGTATTAGTTTTGTTCTGTTCTGCTCTGCTGCCCCCACAGACAAACAGACTGTAGCCCTCCAGATGTGGTAAAACTGGGAATGGGAAGTTCCCATTGGATTAGTGTAGTTACCTCAGAATCTGATTGGAGGATCTACTTGTCAGTCTTAGGACCTTCTGTTGATGTCATTTGCATGGATGTATGGATGGATAAATGGATGGATAAAGGATGGATGTTGTTCAATGTGTAGCCTACCTACTGTACCGTATAGCATAGTGTTGTTAACCAGTCTGATATATAGCATGTGACTTCACTACAGGTGAATACCTGGAGAAGATGTGGTCAGGACGGGATAAACCTAACATTAAAGGTGAGTTGGAAGGAACGTCCATTACCTGAACATCTATATAGTACCTGAACAGTATATAGATGGTATTGGGAGCTTTTCAGACCTCCTCTCACCACCATGTCATCTCCAGTATATAGATGGTATTGGGAGCTCTTCAGACCTCCTCTCACCACCATGTCATCTCCAGTATATAGATGGTATTGGGAGCTCTTCAGACCTCCTCTCACCACCATGTCATCTCCAGTATATAGATGGTATTGGGAGCTCTTCAGACCTCCTCTCACCACCATGTCATCTCCAGTATATAGATGGTATTGGGAGCTCTTCAGACCTCCTCTCACCACCATGTCTGTTTGTTTGTGTGTATCTGCAGTGGAGAGGGACAGCATGTCAGACGTCTGTGTCCTTGGACAGCGCCCCCTCTCTCACCTGACCCCACCAACCCAGCTTGGAGGGTTACCCCTCAAGGTTGGACTAGGGGACCCCCAAACCCCCAGCCAGCAACAGGCCCTCCCCCACCCGTCTCAGCAGCACTCACCCCACAGACAGCACCACCACAGCCCCCCGCCCAGAGGCCAGCCGCCCCCTCCCGGTCCTCCGGCCTCCCTCCAACCCTTACTGGGCCCGGGCGGTCTCCTCTCTCCCCAGCTCAGCCCTCAGCTGGTCAGGCAACAACTGGCCATGGCCCACCTCATCAACCAGCAGCTAGCCGTTAGCCGCCTGCTAGCCCACCAGCACAGTCCGCAGGCCCTCCACCAGCAGCAGCACCAACAGTTCCTCAACCACCCACCCATCCCACGCTCTTGCAAAGCCCCAGGAGGCCTCACTGATCCCGGGATGAATCCGTCGGCCGTGGAGGTCTGTCCGGACATCTACCATCAGGTCAGAGAGGAGCTGAAGAGGGCCAGCGTCTCTCAGGCTGTGTTCGCCAGGGTGGCCTTCAACCGCACACAGGTGAGACATCTACCTCCACTTCTACTTCCATTACTAACCACTCCTGAGACCACCACTTAAGTCCAATTTTCACTTAATCTCCCATTGACATCAATGCATCAATGATTCGCCCCTATAACTGGAAGGAGTGGCTGTGGTTCTGACTTTTTCGGGATCTTTAGTCCACGGCACTAAGATCCGGAGCCCCCGAAGCTTCTGCACAGAGATCAGGCTACTCAGGCCAATGGTTTTGGTGTTGTTTAATAAAGTTAGATCAAAGCTGAATCAATGTCTGCCAGATCACATAAGGATCACAGTATTCTACATAACACAACCCAATATAATAGCATAGTATAACTTTACTCAACAACGTGCCACTAGGCAAAATACACAGGTAGTCTATGCTGCAGTTAGTTAACACCATCTGCTCTAAGATCCGTTCACTCCGTCATTCAACACAACACTGTAGGCTACTTCAAAACAACACTGTATAACTCAAGAAGATCTAAATGCATATCCCCATAAACTGACTGAGATCAAATGGTTACTATGCAGAATGATGCTGCATGGATGTTTCACTGGTAAAACTTGAACAATTATCATGCACGATTGAATACGGTGTTGTTTTGTCTTCCAGTAACGTTACACTATGCTATTATATTGAGTTCTGTAATGTAGAATACTGTGATCATTATGGGATCTTGGAGACATTGATTCAGCTTTGATCTAACTTTATTAAACAAGCACCATTCGCCAGAGTAGCTGATACACACATGTGGTCTGCACATGCGCAGAAGCTTCGGGAAGCTCTGGATCTTTGAGTCCAGCGGACTAAAGATCCCGAAAAAGTCGGATCCACAGCCACGGCCAGAACTGTAACCACTGTAGCTTTTGAAGGGTCTCAGAGTTGGTTGTGCTATGTGTATAACACATAGCACAACTACTATGAACAACTAACAATAGACAGATTGTAACTGTAAACAGTAAACACACAAGTTACAATAGTAACATCAACTCACTTCTGTCCACACACTCCATCAGACACATCCACTTGGAGAAAGGTGGCTGTGACCTGAGCAGGCAAGAGTACTGTCAGGAGTCCGCCCGCTAGCAACCACCTGACCCTAGCAACCTATCAGTGGCCTGGTCACAGAGGTTGCTGGGAATTTGGGGACGCAGTTTGGGGACCCCCTAGTCTCTCTGGCACCGTTGGGGAATGGATGTAGTGAGCTGCATGAAGTGATAAGACTCATAGGCAGGGGAATCCGTAACACCTTTTGTATATCAGCAGTTGTCACAAAGTGCTTTTAAAGTAATCCCATATAATATCATATTGAACATCGAATTATAGGATTGTCCTCCCGAGTGGCGCAGTGGTCTAAGGCACTGCATCGCAGTGCTAGCTGTGCCACTAGAGATCCTGGTTCGAATCCAGGCTCTGTTGTAGCCGGCCGCGACCGGGAGACCCATGGGGCGGCGCACAATTGGCCCAGCGTTGTCCAGGGTAGGGGAGGGAATGGCCGGCAGGGGATGTTGGTAGAGCATGGCGTTTGCAACACCAGGGTTGTGGGTTCGATTCCCACGGGGGGGGCCAGTATGAAAAAATTAAAAAATATATAATGTATGCACTCACTAACTGTAAGTCGCTCTGGATAAGAGCGTCTGCTAAATGACTAAAATGTAAATGTAAATTAGGGATCTGCCTAAAACCCTAGCATGTAATATGAGTGTTCTGAAAGCTGACTATAACTCCTTTTCACTGATACTGACTGTTGAGAAATACACTGACATAGGGACATTCTTACCTAAAGAGAGTAGAGTAGAGTAGTGTAGAGTAGTGTAGTGTAGTAATACAGTAATAGGGTGAAGACAAGAGGCCAGCTGACTGCCCTCATTCTACTGGAGTCTGAACAGGGAACAGATGAAAACCCTTCCTTTATATTCTTCAATGGAGCAAGTTTTCATCATCTCACGCTAACAAGGCCAGCACTCGCGCTCCTGCACTCAACATTGGTGTGTGAGAGAGAGAGAGAGAGAGAGAGAGAGAGGCAATGAGAGAATTAGAGTATGAAAGGGTACTTGGAGGATCCTTGCTAAGAGACCTGACGTTTGCGCGCATGTTTGTGTCTTAGGGCCTGCTGTCTGAGATCCTTCGTAAAGAGGAGGACCCTCGCCAGGCCTCCCAGTCACTCCTGGTCAACCTCAAAGCTATGCAGAACTTCCTGATCCTCCACGAGAGTGAACGCGACCGCATTTACCAGGAGGAGCGTGAACGCAGCATGAACCCCAACCTCAACCTAGGCAACCTGGCCCCAACCAATCAGAACTCCAGCTCCACTGGCCAGCGACTCATTCAGGTACACATACCCAGGTGTCCTCATTTTACGTTGAATAGGAGCACTAGGGAACAGCCACATCAGACACACACATCTACAACCACACCTGGCTTTAAATAGTATTTCTATTTTCTCCTACATGAAGTGCCAGGGTGGGTGGGGTTTGCACTTTTGGGACTATTGCATTGGTTCCATTGCGTTAGGAAATCTCAATGAAGTGAAGCTTTAGAATTTGAAGGAAAACAAATACTATTCGAGCCCGGGTCTGGCTACAACCCACCGCACACCAGAGAACACAGGCCTGTGTCACTGTAGTTACATCACACACAGACCACTCCTGCCAGCACACACACAGGTAATCTCTTTAGGGACTCAGTAACCTAGGTGATTAGCCAGTCTTGCTCACTAACAACTCTCTCTTTATTTCTCTCTCCCCCCCCCCCCCCCCCTCCTCCCTGCAGCCCAAGCCCCCCCTGGCCCAGGTCAGTGATGAGCTGCCCCTGAAGCAGGAGTCCCTGATCAACATCACCTCAGGGATCTATGATGAGATCCAGCAGGAGATGAAGAGAGCCAAGGTGTCCCAGGCCCTGTTCGCCAAGGTGGCCGCCAACAAGAGCCAGGTCAGTCTACACCCACATACAGTATACCAGGGCTCACCAACAAGAGCCAGGTCAGTCTACACCCACATACAGTATACCAGGGGTCACCAACAAGAGCCAGGTCAGTCTACACACATACAGTATACCAGGGGTCACCAACAAGAGCCAGGTCAGTCTACACACATACAGTATACCAGGGGTCACCAACAAGAGCCAGGTCAGTCTACACCCACATACAGTATACCAGGGGTCACCAACAAGAGCCAGGTCAGTCTACACACATACAGTATACCAGGGGTCACCAACAAGAGCCAGGTCAGTCTACACACATAGAGTATACCAGGGGTCACCAACAAGAGCCAGGTCAGTCTACACACATACAGTATACCAGGGGTCACCAACAAGAGCCAGGTCAGTCTACACACATAGAGTATACTGTATATAAGTATATCATACCAATACTATACTCTAGTTCAAGTGAGAGGTGCTTAGTGGTGTTTTGTTTGAAGCGACCTAGCTAAAGGTGAATCCTGACATCCAGTGATCAGGATGCTTAGTAAAATGTGTAATTATCTGTAAACATCCGTAACACACACACACACTCATGTGCATGCCCACACATGCAAACAATGCACACACACTCCCACACAATGGAGAATGTTATTTCTACTGGGTTGATGAACTGTGGTGGATTTGATGGGGGATAAGATCACATATCGGGGTATGTGGGTGGGGATGTCAAGCATGCAGTGTCTGGTTGGTACCACAGGCTGTGGTATCTGATTGTCAGCGCCTGTGGCACCATCATGTGGGCGTCCGGGGCCGGGTAGAGATAAAAGGAACGTCTGGCACGCCAGCCAAAGGAGCTGGCTTACGTGTGTGTGCTTACTGTATGTGTGTGTATCCTGGGTTACGGCTGTGGTTCTCAACAAATACACTCCAAATGCCTACCATCCTGAGTCCTCCTCGTGTGTTTATGTTAGGGGGACAGAGCATGTCGGGATGTGGTGGCACATGACGGAGAGGGATCCACTGGAGATAGCCTGCTAGGAGAAGGGTGGCTTGGGATATGTTATGATGTCTGTGTAAAGCTCATCAGAATCCGTCCTCACGGTTTGGGTTAGTGTCAGAGACAGACATCTTTGGTTCACTGTCTATGTGTGACTGGTATTTGATAAGAGAGAATGGTTTGACCTGTGAAGTCTTGTGGTCTGAGGGTTGTACATAGAGATCACATGATCACGGCTGGTCTGAGGGTTGTACATAGAGATCACATGATCACGGCTGGTCTGAGGGTTGTACATAGAGATCACATGATCACGGCTGGTCTAAGGGTTGTTCATAGAGATCACATGATCACGGCTGGTTTGAGGGTTGTACATAGAGATCACATGATCACGGCTGGTCTGAGGGTTGTACATAGAGATCACATGATCACGGCTGGTCTGAGGGTTGTTCATAGAGATCACATGATCACGGCTGGTCTGAGGGTTGTACATAGAGATCACATGATCACGGCTGGTCTGATGGTTGTACATAGAGATCACATGATCAAGGCAGGAATAAGTTGTGAGGATTCTTGAGGAAGACATAAATAGACTGCTGTTGTTCTGGGGTGGTTTCGCGCCCGCTAGTCTGGTCTGCGTATACACATGTGAGATACATGCTTGTGTGTCTCTGTGTGTGTGCCACTGCTGGTTTGAGGGTAGGGTCTCCTACAGGCCTGGCTCTCAGTGAGGGGTCATGGCTCAGTGACCCCATCTGGCTATGGCCCTCTCCGGAGAGATGGATGGAGGGAGGGAGGTAGAGAGGGAGCACTGAGGTTCTGGAGGAGGCTGTGTACAAACAACAGCTGGTGTCAGTGCCTGAGCCAGTCTAGCGGAGATAATCAGATCTCTCTCTCTCTCCCTCTCAGCCCCACATCATTTTCATCTGGAACTTGTCTTCAGCTCGTTCACCCCATCCTCTTCTTTCATGTCTCTACTCCTCTACATCTCCTTGTCCTTTCTCCCTTTACCCCCCATCACTCTAATGCTATATGTTTAAATGACCAACAAACTTTCTCTCTCGCGTCATCCCTCCCTCTCTGTTAGGGCTGGCTGTGTGAGCTGCTGCGTTGGAAGGAGAACCCCAGCCCGGATAACCGGACTCTGTGGGAGAACCTGTGTACCATTAGAAGGTTCCTGACCCTGTCCCAGGCTGAGAGGGACATGGTGTATGAAGAGGAGTCCAAGCACCACTACAGTGAGAGGCTCCACACTATCCTCCACACGTCTCCAGAAACACAGGTGAGAGGCTCCAGCATCCTCCACATGTCTCCAGAAACACAGGTGAGAGGCTCCAGCATCCTCCACATGTCTCCAGAAACACAGGTGAGAGGCTCCAGCATCCTCCACATGTCTCCAGAACCACAGGTGAGAGGCTCCAGCATCCTCCACATGTCTCCAGAAACACAGGTGAGAGGCTCCAGCATCCTCCACATGTCTCCAGAACCACAGGTGAGAGGCTCCAGCATCCTCCACATGTCTCCAGAACCACAGGTGAGAGGCTCCAGCATCCTCCACATGTCTCCAGAAACACAGGTGAGAGGCTCCAGCATCCTCCACATGTCTCCAGAACCACAGGTGAGAGGCTCCAGCATCCTCCACATGTCTCCAGAAACACAGGTGAGAGGCTCCAGCATCCTCCACATGTCTCCAGAAACACAGGTGAGAGGCTCCAGCATCCTCCACGTGTCTCCAGAACCACAGGTGAGAGGCCCGAGGGGAGAGGGGTCACTCCTGGCAAGTATCTCACCGGTATACGCCTTGGACGCTCCCCCCCCCCCCCCCCCCCCCACAAATTACTTATTGGACACAATTGCAGCTGAAGCTACAATCATAGAGTGTGCCCACAAAAAGCAAAGGAATCTTCGCCTCAGTCCCTCAAAACAATTACAGACAGATGTGAAAGACTCACAGTTAACCAGAAATAAAAGTTGATGAAGTGTGCCTTTCAGTTTCGTGATAAGCTTGTTGTATGTTGTAAGGATACTTCCCTGAGAGGGCCTAAACAATTCCATCTCTAAATTCAGACAACAATCTATTTCCTTCTACTCTCTCTCTCTCTCTCTCTCTCTCTCTCTCTCTCTCTCTCTCTCCTCTCTCTCTCTCTCTCCTCTCTCTCTCTCTCTCTCTCTCTCTCGTTCGTTCGTTGAGTACAGGATTGGACCAAGGTGCAGCGTGGTATGCGTACATGTTAGTTTATTAAATAAACACTGAACAAAACAACAAAAGCAATGTAACGTGAAGTTCTAAAGGCTAACATCAAACAAGCCAAACACACAGAAACAAGATCCCACAACATAGGTAGGCAACATGGCTGCCTAAGTCTGATCCCCAATCAGAGACAACGATCGACAGCTGCCTCTGATTGGGAACCACACCCGGCCAACATAGATATACAAACATAGAATGTACACCCTGACCAAACCAACAAGAAACAACAGGCATTAAAGGGCATGACACTCTCTCTCTCTAGCTCTCTCTCTCTATCTCTCAATTCAATTCAATTCAATTTAAGGGCTTTATTAGCATGGGAAACGTGTGTTAACATTGCCAAAGCAAGTGAAGTAGTTAGTAAACAAAAGTGAAATAAACAATAAATATTAACAGTAAACATTACACTCAGAAGTTCGAAAAGAATAAAGACATTTAAAATGTCATATTATGTATATATACAGTGTTGTAACAATGTGCAAATAGTTAAAGTACAAATGGGAAAATAAAAAAACATAATTATGGGTTGTATTTACAATGGTGTTTGTTCTTCACTGGTTGCCTTTTTCTTGTGGCAACGGGTCACAAATATTGCTGCTGTGATGGCACACTGTGGTATTTCACCCAGTAGATAAGGGAGTTTATCAAAATTGGGTTTGTTTTCGAATTCTTTGTGGATCTGTGTAATCTGAGGGAAGTATGTTTCTCTAATATGGTCATACATTTGGCAGGAGGTCAGGAAGTGCAGCTCAGTTTCCACCTCATTTTGTGGGCAGTGTGCACATAGCCTGTCTTCTCTTGAGAGCCAGGTCTGCCTACGGCGGCCTTTCTCAATAGCAAGGCTATGCTCACTGAGTCTGTACATAGTCAAAGCTTTCCTTAAGTTTGAATCAGTCACAGTGGTCAGG